CACGGTGAAGTACAGTGAAGGCCTGGAGAGGAGGCAGAAGTGGAGTGGAGGTGGCCAATGGGGAGTCAAAGGGGGACATCTCTAATACTTTCAACAGTAAAGACACAGTCCTGGCCAGTATACTCGGTGGTTAGAGTGTTGGCCTGCAAACCAAAGGGCTGCAGTTTTGATTCCCTGTTAAGGGCATGTACCTGGGTTGCAGATTCCATCCCATACCTGGTCGGGGTGCAGGAGGCAACCAATCGATGTGTCTCTCTCACATCAATGTTTGTCTCCCCGCCGCCCCACCCCCATCCACTCTCTCTAAAAAACAATGGAAAAAATGTCCTTGGTGAGAATTAACTAAATAAATAAAAATAAAACAAATTATCTTCTCCCCTAGGATGTAAGCTCATGTGGACAGGGACCATATTTTGGTTGCCTTTTTACCTCAATGTTTAGTGCAGTGCCTGGCACATTTCCTCCCTCATTATTTCATTTTGCCTCTGAGATCTCTCTGTCTTTATTATTCTGTTTTTCCTTGTTGATCTTTGTTCTCAGTCCATCCTTGTCCCCTCTCCTCAGCCAGGGCTGGCTGAGGGCCACCATCCCCTGTCCATTTCTCCTACAGACTGTGTACAGTGCCCTGGGCCTGAGGGATGCCTGTCGCTCCCTGCCTCAGTCCATCCAGCTCTTCCGGGACATTGCCCAAGAGTTCTCTGATGACTTGCACCACATCGCCAGCCTCATTGGCAAAGTGGTGAGTAGAAGGGAACTAGAGGCAGGAGATACGCTGTGGAAGATGGGGAAGCCTGGGAGACAGTGAGGTCAGCTGAATGACCAACAAGTGGAATGGTGAAAGGAGGTGGCAGAACATCGGGAATGTGCTTGGAGGGCTAGGGTTAGATCAGGGACTGCAGGGGGAATTGGAGCCCAGCTAGACGTGAGCAACAGGACGGAAAGATGGTGCTGGCCAATAAGCAACTGGACTTCTTGCCTCCTCAGGTGGACTTTGAGGGCAGTCTTGCTGCAAATCGCTTCACAGTCCTCCCCAACATAGATCCTGAAATTGATGAGAGTGAGTATTGGGTGGGAATCGGCCTGTGAGCCCTGAAACACAAGCCTGCACAGTGATGAGGTGCCACCGTTGGTACTTGGCCACTGCAACTGGGGATAATCATGGCAACCAGGGCAGGAACCTCACTCTCGATACCCACCCTCCTAGAGAAACGAAGGCTGGCGGGGCTTCCCAGTTTCCTCACTGAGGTCGCTCGGAAGGAGCTGGAGAATCTGGACTGCCGCATTCCTTCGTGCAGCGTCATCTACATCCCTCTGGTGAGCCAGGAGGCTGGGTGTGACCTGTGGGGGCTTTTGGAGGAGGTTGTAGGCGTATAGAGGACACACTGGTAGATAAGAAAACTTCTGGAGGATTTTGAAGAACATGAACACCTTGTGGTGGCTCTAGCCGCTGAGGGAAGCACGGGGTCTGGGAAGAGAAAGTGCCCAGGACATCACGCTCTGCCTTATCTCCTCTTTATGCTCTCCAGATCGGCTTCCTTCTTTCTATCCCCCGCCTGCCTTCCATGGTGGCGGCCAGTGACTTTGAGATCGAGGGACTGGACTTCATGGTAAGACCCTTGACCTCTGCAGGGAGGTGATGAGGAAAATGAATCAGCAGCTGTCGGGGCCTAGCCCTATCAGCACTGCCCAATGTGGGACCTCTCTTCTGTAGTTTTACTTTGACCTTTATCAGCGCTGAGATGAAGGAGAAGAGTCGGGTGGGGGCCTGCAGACAGGGTTATAAATGTGGGAGGGGATGAGGACCAAGAGACGCAGAGCCCACAGCCTGAACCCTCTGACCCAGTTCCTCTCAGAGGAGAAGCTGCACTATCGCAGTGCTCGAACCAAGGAGCTGGACGCATTGCTGGGGGACCTGCACTGCGACATCCGTGGTGAGGAGAAGCCAAAGGCTGGGAGGGGCGGATTCGAGATGACTCCAACAGGCTCCTTTTCTCCCTGCTCTCGCTCTTCACTCTGACTCTCCATCTTCTCTGAACGCCTCTGGGTGTCTCACACGGTATCTGCAAGCCTGTTTCCAGGTCCCTCTGCTGTCTTGTCTCTCCTTCATATCCCCCCCCTCCCCGAGCTGACCCCCAGCTCCTCCCTCACCTACCATCAGACCAGGAGACCCTGCTGATGTACCAGCTGCAGTGCCAGGTGCTGGCTCGGGTGGCTGTCTTGACCCGGGTGTTGGACCTTGCTTCCCGCCTGGACGTCCTGCTGGCTCTTGCCAGTGCTGCCCGGGACTATGGCTACTCAAGGCCCCGTTACTCTCCCCAGCTCTTTGGGGTACGAATCCAGAATGGCAGGTGAGAACAGAAGGGGGTGGAGGCATAGACACGAGGGGCCTAAAAGCCCCATGTTCTGGGGGCCCGCCCATCTGGGCGATATGTGAGGTACCTTTCCACCCACTGCAGACATCCTCTGATGGAGCTCTGTGCCCGAACCTTTGTGCCCAACTCCGCAGAATGTGGTGGGGACAAAGGGAGGGTCAGAGTCATCACTGGCCCCAACTCTTCAGGGAAGAGCATATACCTCAAACAGGTAGGAGACTCCTACACACTGGCCTCTGGTACCTTCATCTCCTCCCCCACCTGCTAGCCAGACCGGTCCCTGCAGCTCTCCTGCTGTCCTGACCCTGCCTGCCATGCAGACACTGTGACCCACACCTATTCCTCTTTCACTTGAGGGAGAGCCATGCCCTAATAGAGCTTTCCACGGCCTCAGTCCCCGTCCCTTACCTCTGAGCAGGACCATGCCATTCCCGTGTGCCTCTGGCCACCCCGTCCCTCTCTGAGTGGAAGGGGCCACGATCATCTATTAAACTATGTGCGTCTCTCCTTGCTCTGTCATTCACCCCTCAGTTTAGCCTCACCTTCACCTCCGCCCATCCCACCAGGCCCAGACTCTGCCTCCTTCCCTGCTTAGGTAGGCCTGATCACATTCATGGCCTTGGTGGGCAGCTTTGTGCCAGCAGAGGAAGCCGAAATCGGGGCAGTAGACGCCATCTTCACCCGTATTCATAGCTGCGAATCCATCTCCCTTGGCCTCTCCACTTTCATGATCGACCTCAACCAGGTCAAAGGGAGCAAAGAGAGGCGGGATTGGGATGGGGGGAAATGGGGAAGGAACTCGACCCCTGAAAAATGATCAGGAAAAACATTCCCTCTGCTGCCTGCCCTCTACACTAGGGAACCTCTTTTTTTGGGGGGCGGGGTATTAATCCTCACCCAAGGATATTTTTCCATTTATTTTTAGAATAGAAGGGAGGGAGCATGGGGAGAGAAATAGAGAAACATGACACATGAACTGGTTGCCTTCCACATGTCCCCTGACCAGGGATGGGATTGAACCTGCAACCCCAGTACATGCCCTTGACCAAGAATCGAACCCGTGACCCTTCAATGTGAGGGCCAATGCTTTAACCACTGAGCAATACTGGCCAGAGCTAGGGAGCCTCTTTTTTTTTTTTTAAATATATTTTATTGATTATTTACAGAGAGGAAGGGAGAGAGATAGAGTCAGAAACATCGATGAGAGAGAACCATCGATCAGTCGCCTCCTGCACATCCCCCACCGGGGATGTGCCCGCAACCCAGGTACATGCCCTTGACCGGAATCAAACCTGGGACCCTTCAGTCCGCAGGCCGACGCTCTATCCACTGAGCCAAACCGGTTTTGGCAGGGAGCCTCTTTTGAATCCTGTCTTTGTGTGTGGCATTGCTGGCCATGAAAGGGTGAACAAAGCATGCACCTTGCCATTAAAGACTTCCCCGTCCATTGGAGTGGACACAAGCAGCTTTATTCATGGCAGACTGTGGTCAGCGTTACAGGCCTCAGATGCTAATGCAACTCTCTGTCCACCTGGTACCCAGCAGGTGGCAAAAGCAGTGAACAGTGCCACCGAGCGGTCTCTGGTCCTTATTGATGAATTTGGAAAGGGAACCAACACGGTGAGGGGAAATCTCATGAGGAACAAAGGAGAAATGGAGGAGGGCAAAGGAGCAGGAGGGGAGGTTGGGCTTCAGGAAAAAGAATAGGTGTGGGGGCCAAAAAGAAACAGAAGAGTGCAAGATGGAAAAGGCCAGGGCAGGTGGGGGGACGTGGGGCACCCGTGGTTCTGCACTCTTACCCTGTCCTCTGCACAGGTAGATGGGCTCGCACTGCTGGCTGCTGTCCTCCGACACTGGCTGGCTCTCGGACCCACATGCCCCCACATCTTTGTGGCCACCAACTTTCTGAGCCTCGTTCAGCTACCCTTGTTGCCACAGGGGCCCCTTGTGCAGTATTTGGTGAGGGAATAATCTAGTCCCCTCGGGGTCCCTAAGCCAAGTGTTTCCCAGAGCTGGAGGCTGGCTCCTTCTTCAGAACAGGGGCTCCCTGAACACAGGGACCATGTCCCTTCCCTGCCCTCACTTCCCTTAGGGATTGGCTGTGGGTTTCAGGGTGGGACGCTGAGTGACAATGACACACTGTCCCCTTTTATTCTTTTTTAAGACCATGGAGACCTGTGAGGATGGGAATGACCTTGTCTTCTTCTATCGGGTTTGCGAAGGTGTGGCCAACGCCAGCCATGCCTCCCACACAGCTGCCCAAGCCAGGCTTCCTGACAAGCTCATAGCTCGTGGCAAGGAGGTGATGAGATCCATGTCAGCCATCCATCAGGGCTCCCTTCCGCCGTTCCTGCTCCTCTGGGGCCTGGGTTCCTGGGCCCATGGCATTTCTGACCTTATTTTCTCTTTTCGTACCCAATTCCCCCACCCTGCCTCCTCCTTGCTCCTAGGTCTCGGACTTGATCCGCAGTGGCAAGCCCATCCAGCCTCTCAAGGAGCTGCTGAAGGAGAAGCAAATGGAAAAGTGAGCGGGTGGCCCAGGGTCCTGTTCTAGCATCTTCTGCAGCTTTTTCCCCTTCAGGGACTCAGAAGGCCTTTTTGCCTTTCAGTGACTCAGTTTCCCAGTTTCTTTCTGAAATCCCTAAATTTCCAAGGTCCAGGCTTCCTCTGCACAACCTCTCCCCCCTGCTCAGGATCAGTTATCCGTCCTCTCATTTGGCTCTCTGTGCTCTCTCCCTTCAGTTGCCAGACATTAGTAGATAAGTTTCTGAAACTGGATTTGGAAGATCCCAACCTGGACCTGGACATTTTCATGCGCCAGGAAGTGCTCCCTGCAGCCACCACCATCCTCTGAGAGACCTTCGTCGGCCCTCCTCCCCTTCCCACACCCTGTGGGCTGCCATGCCCTTTTTGTTTCTTTAGACCCAAAGTTCTCAGTTTCCCCAGAAATCTTGTTTCACATTAGGAATAAAGTTTATTTTGGAGAAAGTTGTTTCCTTAGACCAGCCAAAACAAAGCAAGAGACTAGAAAAGAGATGAAACACCAAGTAGGAGTCCACAGAGGGACCTGCCCTGCCTCATTAGGGAGGTGGGGGGATAAATGGTGATGGAAGGAGACTTGAATGGGGGTGGTGAACACATACAATACCCAGATGTTGCATGATAGACTTGTACACCTGACACCTGCATAATTTTATTAACCAATGTCAGCTCAATTAATTCAATCAAAAATGACAGTGCCATTTCTGTGGGAGGATGGGGGATTCTACCCAGGGGGACTTTAAGAGAACCGACTTCAGACCCTGCAGAACAGAGGAGCCTAAGGGAGATGGTCCTTCCCAGCCTCGGACACACAGCAGGAAGAGCTCTGAGGCTGAAAGACTAGGTAGGAGGCTGCAAGGAGCAGGGAGAGAGGGGAGGGGCCAGCCCAGGTCACCAGTGGGTGTGGCTCCACCTTCCCACCTCAGAGTCCTGCCCCTGCTGCAGGCCCCTTCTAGTTCTGCTGGGGACAAGCCACCAAGACCCAGCAGCCTGCCCTAGCTGGTCTGGCCCAGTGGATAGAGTTCAGTGGATAGAGTGTCAGTCTTTGGACTGAAGGGTCCCGGGTTCGATTCTGGTCAAGGGCACATGCCCGGGTTTGATCCCCAATAGGGGGCATGCAGGGGGCAGCTGATCAATGATTCTCATCACTAATGTTTCTCTCTCTCTCTTCCTTCCTCTCTGACACCAATAAAAATATATTAAAAAACAAACAAAAACCCAGTGGCCTGAAGCTTCTTCCTCTGGGTGAGTACTAGTCCACCAAGAGGCCCCAGGGGAAGCCCCTCCTCCCAGATCTGCCCTCTACATTTCCACTCAATTTTGGGACTTCTAAGTCTTCCCCACTGCGTTCCCTTTCCCTGGTGGACAGTCTGGGCTTGATTCAGTGACCAGACAGAACCCAAGCAGGGGCTCCTAGAAAGACCGTGGCCCAGAGCCCTAATGTGGAGTAAGCCTCTGCTGTTTGCATTTTCCAGCTGCAGAGGAGGCAGGCTCTGGAGCAGGAACAGTCTGCCCTATGCAGGGGCTGCAGGGGCTGCAGGGGCTGGAGCTGCCCCATCATGGCCAGGCCTGGTTTGAGGGCCCGCTGAGAGGCACAGCAACAGCAGCTAGGTGCGGGGGCCTTTGGTGAGCTGCGGGGCAGCCCCCGGTGTGTGGGGAAGGGGACAGGGACCACATGTGGACAGAGCCTGACCCTGCCCTGGAAAGGAGACAATGGCCAGAGATCATGAATTAGGAGCAGCATTGCAGTGACGGGATGCCACCATCAGTGTTAGGGTGGCATTCTTGTTGGCACTGGAGCAGGTGGGTCTGCATTCTGTTCAGAGGTGGGAGAGTGGCCTGCATCACCCCAATGGGTCAGCGACTAAAGAAGAGGGAGGTCACAAAAAGACGGGAGCCAGAGAGAAAGGTACCTGGGCTCACCTGACGCGCCAGCCTGCTCTACCCAGAGAAGCACACTTGGTGAGAACCATTGGAAACGACCCTGAGCTGCTGGGCCCATCCCTATGAATTCATGGAATGATAAGTGGAAAAAAATAAAAAAGACTTCTGTGCTGCCGAAACCGGTTTGGCTCAGTGGATAGAGCGTCGGCTTGTGGACTGAAAGGTCCCAGGTTCGATTCCGGTCAAGGGCATGTACCTGGGTTGCGGGCACATCCCCAGTAGGAGATGTGCAGGAGGCAGCTGATCGATGTTTCTCTCTCATTGATGTTTCTGACTCTCTATCTCTCTCCCTTCCTCTCTGTAAAAAATCAATAAAATATATTTTTAAAAAAAAGACTTCTGTGCTGATAAAAATGTTTCTCTTAATTGAGTGGAAGTGTGGTGTCACTTTCCAAAGAATAATTACAAAAAACTTTGTGTCCTAAAAAAAAAAAATTAAAAAAAGAGGGAGCCCTGTGCCCTAGCTGGTGTGGCTCAGTGGATAGACCGTTGGCCTGCGGACCAAAGGGTCCTGGGTTCGATTCCAATTAAGGTCAAGTACCTTGGTTGCAGGCTCCTCCCCAGCCTGGGCCCTGGTCGGGGTACATGCAGGAGGCAACCAATCGTGTTTCTCTCACATCGATATTTCTCTCTGTCTTTCCTTCTCTCTTCCGCTGTCTCTGAAAATCAATGGAAAAATATCCTCGGGTGAGGATAAAAAAAAAATAGGGAGCCCTGGCCAGCGTGGCTCAGTATTTAGAATGTCAACCCATGCACAGAAGGGCCGCAGGTTTGATTCCTGGTCAAAGGCACATACTGGGTTGCAGGTTCGATCCCTAGCCCTGGTCGGGGCATGTGCAGGAGGCAACCATTGATGTGTCTCTCTCACGTGAATGGTTTTCTGTTTCTCTCTTCCATTCTCTCTAAAAAAAAAAAAAAAAAATCTGTGGAAAAATACCTGAGGATTAAAAAAAATGTTTCTTTTGATTCTATATCAGCAGGCTTCTATTAATTATGAAAATGAGTGATTTCCCTATATTATAGATAAAAGTTGCAAGGCCCGTCGAAGAGATGGAGTGGAGAGTACTGCCTTTCCCACCCGTCGGGAGGGGTACTGGGATGAGGGGTACGTGGGAAAGCACGGCCTGGGAAAGCACGGCCTGTGCTGACAGGAGAGTGGCGGACGGACCTGGAGCTCTCACACTGAGCCTGCAGGACTCCAGAGTTTTCTAACGTTCACACTTGGAGCCGGGAGTCCGCAGTCAGCCCAGAGTCAAAAGGTGAACATCTGTTTGAGACTCCGACTCCGGGGAAGGTGTTTATTGTTCTCAGTTGAGGCTTTTGAGAGGTTGGGGTAGAGAGATTTGGGGTCGACACTGGTTTAACGGAGAACAGCGAATATCCCCGCATTCGCCCCACGTCTTTGAACATGCCAGTTCCGGTGCCATCCAGGGCAGGAAGGGAAGGCCAAGGAAGCAGGGCTGTGGCAGCGGCAGGTAAACGGGGGTGGGGGGGGCACAGGGGAGGAGGGCCGAGCACAGATGCCCAGAACTCCTCTCTCTAGGGGCTGTCAATGCAGCCGAAGAGGAGATGGCGCAGCCAGGCTTCCCCAGGGGTGGAGGGGCCCTACCGGTGTCTAAGGCCTCCCCTCAGTCCCCAGTTGGGAGAGAACCTCCTATTCTGCCTCTTGACTCCACAGCGAAGGAGCTCCAGGTGGTGGGCCAACTGCAGTCCACACATCAGGCGTGAAGCGCCTTCTCTGCTCCTGAAAGCCTCCATTTCGCCTTCCTGCGCTCCATGCCCTCACGCTCCTATTTGCTGTGCATACACGATCTTTGAAATCCCTCTGGGGAGAAGACATGTTTATTGAAACTGTCCTTCAAATTTAAATACAAAAATAAAAGTTTCTCCAGAATTTCAAATACAAGCAATTCTATAAATAACACTTTCTAGTACCCTCCTACCCCAGTCTTAGGTTTGCTTCCCACGAGGGTTAGGGAAAGTGCACTGTGGGAAAATCGATTACCCTTTATCCCAATCTTGCTAAGAGAAGAGACAAGTGCATGAGAAGGAAAACCTCCAGCCCCGCTGGGAGAGTAGGGTCCCGAGGCCCACGCCATCGCTCACCCACCGGGAGGGATTGGAAAGAGCGCTGGAGACCCATCCTTGAGGGGCTGCTGTCACCAGGAGGCCAGGCCTAGAAGGAGCAGCACCCCGGCGACTGTGCCCCACCGGGGGTTGCCTGCCAGCCCGCCCCCCGCCCTGCCCTGAGTCACCAAAGGGGAGGGAGGAAGGGTGGAGCTGGCCATGGTGAGGACCGGGCCAGACGAGTGGGCAGGGACAGCGAGCTGGTCCTGGGGAGAAGAAGGAAAGTCCGTCTGGGTGTCTACACCCAAGTTAAGCCCCCCTTGGCCTGCCGACCCTGCGATGGAGAGGGGGGCCGTCACCTGTGGGTGCGGGGCCAGCACCAGGAGCCGGAGGAAGGCGTGGGTCGGGGGCACTGGTCTGGCTTCTCGACCCATCGCAGCCACAGTCACCGTCACCACGGAGTCCGGGGCAGCCGACTCCGGGACCGCCAGCCACAGGCGCCCCCAGGCGGACTCATTGTGCTCCAGGCGAACCCTGCGGAGCGGGTAGAAACAGCCAGGCTCCAGAGAGCCCAGCGTGGGGGGCGGAGCCAAGCGCTGGCGGAAGGGGAGGTGGCGCCTGAGGGCCAATCAGAAGGGGTCGGAGGCGGGGCTTAGGGGATGGTACCAGAGCCCCGCGCGAGAAAAGGGCGGGGCCGGGAGAAGCCGGAGGCTCGGGCTGCACCTGGAGAGGTTGGAGGTGAGCGCGAAGCTGGAGTTGACCCACGTCCTGAGGTCGAGATCCCGAGGCCCCGAGAAGCTGGCGACGCGAAGGCTGAGGGGGGCCTTGCTGCCCGGGGCCAGGAACCCCGCCGGGCCACTGAGCTGCGGAGGAGGGCGGGTCAGCGAGGAGCCGCGCTCCCTGGGCCCGCTGCGCCCTGCCCGGGGCTCACCTCCAGAAGGACC